AAAGCACATTTTGTACCAATACCTTTGTCCATCTTTGTAAAATATACAATCAAACACTGATACAATTTAGGCGGAAATGAAATTTGAAAGGAAATATCCAAAAGGTATGTTTATACTTTTCTGTCATTATTAAAGTTAGGAGACCAATTCCCAAAAAACCTTATTTATATGTACCAAAGAGTGTTATCTTATGATAAAAGTTGGTTATTTGACTATTAGGGGCTGGTGACAGAAGAGGTTACCAGCCCCTAATAGTCAAATAACAGGTTGCTAGTGCAGCAAGGTCTTCAAACTGACAAATAGAATGGGCCCTATAGGTGTAAATGGATAAACGATAGATTAATGCAAAAAATAAGATTTAATATAATTATTTTTATATAATATATATAATAATAAACCCATCTTTATCATTCTCCATCCATCCATCTTCTCCCGCTTATCCGTGGTCGGGTCGCGGGGGTAGCAGTTCCAGCAGAGAGCCCCAAACTTTCTTTTCCCTGGCGACATCAACCAGCTCTGACTGGGGGATCCCATTGCTCCCAGGCCAGCGAAGAGATATAATCCCTCCACCTGGTCCTAGGTCTACCCCTTGGTCTCTTCCCAGCTGGACGTGCCTGGAACACCTCCCTAGGGAGGCGCCCAGGTGGCATCCTAACTAGGTGCCCGAACCACCTCAACTGGCTCCTTTCGACGCGAAGGAGGAGCGGCTCAACTCCGAGTCCCTCCCTGATGACCGAACTTCTCACCTTATCCCTAAGGGAGACACCAGCCACCCTGCGGAGAAAACCAATCTCGGCCGCTTGTATCCGCAATCTCGTTCTTTCGGTCATGACCCATCCTTCATGACCATATGAGGGTAGGAACGAAAATGGCCCGGTAGACAGAGAGCTTTGCCTTCTGGCTCAGCTCCCTTTTCGTCACAACGGTGCGGTAAAGCGACTGCAGTACCGCTCCCGCTGCTCCGATTCTCCGGCCCATCTCACGCTCCATTGTTCCCTCACTCGAGAACAAGACCCCGAGATACTTGAACTCCTTCACTTGGGGTATGGACTCATTCCCTACTTGAAGTGGACAGTCCATCGGTTTCCTGCTGAGAACCATGGCCTCAGATTTGGAGGTGCTGAACCTCATCCCAGCCGCTTCACACTCGGTTGCGAACCGATCCAGTGAGTGCTGAAGGTCGCAGACCGATGAAGCCATTAGAACCACATCATCTGCAAAAAGCCGTGGTGCAATCCTTAGTCCACCGAACTGCAGACCCCCTCCCCCATGACTACGCCTCGAAATCCGATCCATGTATATTACAAACAGGATTGGTGACAAAGCGCAGCCCTGGCGGAGGCCAACCCTCACCGGAAATGGGTCCGACTTACTGCCGAGGACCCGGACACAGCTCTCGCTTTGGGAGTACAGAGATTGGATGGCCCTGAGTAGAGACCCCCTCACCCCATACTCCCGCAGCACCTCCCACAGTAACTCCCTGGGAACTCGGTCATACGCCTTCTCCAAGTCTACAAAACACATGTAGACCGGATAAGCGTACTCCCAGGCCCCCTCCAGGATCCTTGCGAGAGTAAAAAGCTGATCCGTCGTTCCACGACCAGGACGGAATCCGCATTGTTCCTCCTCAATCTGAGGTTCGACAATCGGCCTGACCCTCCTTTCGAGTACCTTAGAGTAAACTTTCCCGGGGAGGCTGAGTAGTGTGATGCCTCTGTAATTGGCACACACCCTCTGATCCCCCTTTTTAAAAAGGGGAACCACCACCCCGGTCTGCCACTCCTTCGGTACTGTTTCCGACTTCCACGCAACGTTGATGAGACGTGTCAACCATGACAGTCCCTCAACACCCAGAGCCTTCAGCATTTCCGGGCGGACCTCATCCACCCCCGGGGCTTTGCCACTGTGGAGTTGTTTGACGACCTCAGTGACCTCCCCCCGGGAGATTGGTGTTGATCCCCCGTCATACTCCAGCTCTGCCTCTAACATAGAGGGCGGAGTTGTCGGGTTCAGGAGTTCCTCAAAGTGTTCCTTCCAACGCCCTAACACTCCATCAGTTGAGGTCAACAACGTCCCATCCTTACTGTACACAGCTTGGATGGTTCCCTGCTTCCCCCTCCTGAGGTGTCGGACAGTTTTCCAGAACAACTTTGGTGCCGCCCAAAAGTCCTTCTCCCTGTCTTCTCCGAACTTCTCCCACACCCGCTGCTTTGCCTCGGCCACGGATGAGGCTGCTGCCCTTCGGGCCTGTCGGTACCTTGCAACTGCCTCGGGAGTCCCCCGGGATAACAGATCCCTGAAGGCCTCCTTCTTCAGTCGGGCGGCTTCCCTGACCACCGGTGTCCACCAGGAGGTTCGAGGGTTACCGCCCCTTGAGGCACCTAGGACCTTGAGACCACAGCTCCCCGCCGCGGCTTCGGCAATAGAGGCTTTGAACACCGACCACTCTGGTTCAATGTCCCCAACCTCCACAGGAATGCCCGAAAAGCTCCGCCGGAGGTGTGAGTTGAAGGCCTCCTGAACTTGGGCCTCCTCCAGACGTTCCCAGTTCACCCGAACTACACGTTTGGGCTTACCAGGTCTATCCAGAGGCTTCCCCCACCACTCGACCCAACTCACCACCAGATGGTGATCAGTTGACAACTCCGCCCCTCTCTTTACCCGAGTGTCCAAAACATACGGCCTCAGGTCCGATGATACGATAACGAAATCGATCATGGACCTTCTGCCTAGGGTGCTCTGGTACCACGTACACTTGTGAGCATCCTTATGTTCGAACATGGTGTTTGTTATGGCCAATCCATGACTAGCACAGAAGTCCAGTAACAAACCACCACTCCGGTTCAGATCAGGGGGGCCGTTCCTCCCAATCACGCCCCTCCAAGTGTCTCCATCATTGCCCACATGTGCGTTGAAGTCTCCCAGCAAGATTAAAGAGTCCCGTTCAGGAGCCCCATACAAGACTCTTTCCAGGGTCTCCAAGAAGGCCGTATACTCTGAACTGCTGTTGGGTGCATAAGCACACACAACAGTCAGAGTTTTCCCCCCCATAACCCGCAGGCGTAGGGAGACGACCCTCTCGTCCACTGGGGTAAACTCCAACAACGAAGCACCTAACCGGGGACTTGTGAGTATCCCCACACCCGCCCGGCACCTCACACCTTGAGCAACTCCGGAGAAGAATAGAGTCCAACCCCTATCCAGAAGTAAGGTTCCAGATCCAACTGGTAACGCTCCACCTCCCACACAAGCTCCGGCTCCTTCCCCCCCAGAGAGGTGACGTTCCACGTCCCCAAAGCCAGCTTCTGTCGCCCGGGTCTGGTCCGTCAAGACCCTCTGCTTTCACTGCCACCCTTCTGGCAGCGCACCCGACCCCATCGATGTTTCCCGTAGGTGGTGGGCCCGCGGGACGGAGAAGCGGAGGTGTTGCCCACGTTGCCTTTTCGGGCTGGGCCCGGCCGGACTCCGTGGCAAGCCTGGCCACCAGACGCTCGCCGACGAGTCCTCCTTCTGGGCCTGGCTCCAGAAGGGGACCCCGGGCTCCCTCCGGGCCGGGTATCCTCACTTCTTGTGTCGTCTTTCATGAGGTCTTTTGAACCAATCTTAGTCTGGCCCCTTGCCTGAGACCAATTTGCCATGGGAGACCCTACCAGGAACACAAGGTTCCAGACAACACAGCCCCCAGGTTCATCAGGGCACACAAACCTCTCTACCACGGTAAGGTGCTGGTTCTTTATCATTCTTAATGCATTTATCTTTATATTTAGTTCATCTTTGAATTAACATGGCGATAGGCCTACTGTGAGCCAACAGGCTTACATTTAAACCAGGTATATCAGGGAAAGACATTTAGCCTATAGGATTGAGACTACTTTTTATCATTCCTAAAATGTATATACATAAACATATAAATCCTACAGAAAAGGAGAGATATCATAGAATGAGACAGAAATTACATTACACTAATGCAAGCACATTAAACAGCGTTTAACATTTAAAGTAGAGATTTCGGCTCAATGAATGGAAAAATCTAAAATGAATCATACATTCAAACTTTAATGAATCATCAATTATATACAGTTACAAAATGACTCAACATTTTTTCTAGTGTGCAACTATGCTGTCATTCACACTTCCGTTAGCGCACTCAAGACAGTCACAGGAACAGAATTCAGTGCATGGCAATCCAGCTTCAAAACAAGGACATTTCTTCTGTTGACTGCATTTTGTGTCCTTGCAGTAGAGATTTGTTAAATCTCGCACTTTTTGCGGTGCTGCCGCTTTTTCATACATCACTGGTTGCATGACTCCCTCCATCAACCTCCAACCTTTCCCCACAGGACTCCAAAGCACTGTTTTGTTTTGGTGACTGTGGCACCAAACAGCAGTTTGGTACATGGCTCTTAGTACGTGTTGCCTAAATGAATCTTCAGTCGGGGGAAGTTGAGAGGAAGGCATGTCTGAGGTGGATGCCAGTACATACCTCAACTCATCCAGGCTTGTACACTGTTGCCCTTTCTGATTCTTCTTCTGGCCATTGTTAGAAATTAAAATCAATGTTTTGATAGCATAATGTACCCTAAACATACCGTCAGTTTAAATGCTGTTTTATACTGAAAAACCAGAAGTTCTTGTGCGTCCAGTTGTTAAGCTTTTATTCTGAAAATCCTTCATGACGACATCCGGGACTACCGCCCATTAGTATCATTAAAGTGGCTATTGACGCCGTTAACATGTATTACATATAAAGTTATGAAAGAGATAAGGAGGAGAAAAGGCATGTGGAAGTAAGCAATGAATGTAAAATGTCGAAATCCTCTGTTTAACGCGATATCGGACACAGACGAACGAGAGGGGAAGTCCCTTACGTCACTACAGCTCACAGAGAGGAGGAGCGAACAGCGAGGAAGCGGGAAGGACGAATGCTTGTACGCTCTCTTCTGCACGGCCGGCACCTGGAGAGGAAGCTGCAGACTTTCTCTCCAACGGACCATATCCTGTTTGTGACTTTACCACGCTTTTTATTAATTAAAGTACCAATTTTGAACCTCCAGAGACTCCATTTAGTCTCCTTTTTTAGCTTCTCTTTCCTGGACGCTGAGAATAAGAACACAGTTAACAATTGGTGCTCCTGAAGACGTGATTCTCGTTGCACTGGGAGAGACTATACACGCGGCTGTTGTCCGGAGCCGCTGGCAAACCCGTTCGACACACAGAGAGCTCAAACTACGGTAAAGAAGAAGCCTGTTACGTCAAAATTCTTCAATAGTTTATGCAGAACAATCTTAGGACTGTGTGTTGGACGGCTGCTTCCGGTTCCTGAAAATAGCTGGGAAATTAATGTTAAAACAACCAAATTTATAACAATAACAATCATAACACGTGGCGTTGCATTTTCACAAGCAGGGTGAGTTCACATTTCTTCTTTTTCTTATATTTAACCCTGCATGCTATTCGTTTGTCTGTTATTACATGTCGGCAAAAGGCTAATCATTTCAATTGTTTCTTGTTACGTCTTAATTTAAACGTGAATGGTTTTAGGCCATTAATCAGTGGGGACTGGTTGAGACAAGAACAAAGTGGAGTGAGTGTTTGTGTTAAGGACAGTGTGAGGCTGTTTTTCTTTTTAAAAGTTCTTTGTGTGATGATGGCAATCATTTAAAGTGTTTCTTGTTACGTCTTAATTTAAACGTGAATGGTTTTAGGCCATTAAACAGTGGGGACTGTTTGAGACAAGAACACAGTTGAGTGAGTATTTTAATTACAGCAAGGGGCTTTCTTATTAAAAAAGTCCTATTTGAGGAAAAGGCCTGAAAAGTTTGAAGCTTTCAGTGTTTGTTTTTTCTGTTTTCAAACAGACATTGCGCGTGGATTACGACGAGAAATGCGACATTCGTGCGTTAGATAGACGATATTCTTCTGATAGTGTTTGATTAGCTTCTTACTTTGTCCCATGATAGCGTGTTTAAACAGAGGAGATAACCATACTGGCTCTTAAAGTCAAAACATTACGTACACAGGTTGAAGGCTGTGACGTAAGGGTATGAGGCCCATCTTTGGTAACACAAATCAGTATTGTTACCGAGCCTGATAATCTATTGACCTATCTAAGCTTAACGTTATTACAACAGTAGAGTAGGCCTGGTTGCAAACGGGACTATAGGCCAACGTGTTTATAGCATCATGCTAAGTTAGCGTTTAATACCACAAACATTTTTACCACATACAACTATTATTTACTTTATTAACGCTTAACGAGGTTGGACAGTCGATGTTGTACTTTGATAACGAGACAATTGTGTGTTAAGAAAAATGACATTACAATAAATATAAACATGCATCTCTGGAAAATACTATTACTGCTGTTTCAACTTTTTGTTCGGCCATCGTGAAAGAACGAATGACTTCTTCTGCGAGGATTTATAAAAGCAGCTGGAATCCCTTAAGTTGCATTACTGCCACCTACAGTATGTATTTCTGCTGAGTGTCATTATTCTATTGGATACAAAAAGTTAGGAAACGCCCCTATACGATCCGCCCCTATATGATACGCCCCTATACGATACGCCTCCTTGCTGTGGTCTGCAGACAGACTCTATTGGTCTGCAGCCAGACCCATCTCATTCTATTGGATAAAAAAAGTTAGGAAACGCCCCTATACGATCCGCCCCTATACGATCCGCCTCCTTGCTGCGGTCTGCAGACAGACCCATCTCCAACAACTAGCTGGCGTTAAACCAGACCAAGGGCTATAAAGTAACGGCTGAAACCGAATAATACTGGACCTGCATCACGTGATGCAGGTCACTCACGACGCCCAATCACAATGTAGCAGTTTGCGCGCCAACTGTGGTGGAGCCAAGTGCATCGGTGGACGGACGGTTATTGTTTGAAATTGAGCAGCCAGACTACAACAATTCAACATGTCTCTGCTGGACCTACCAACATTTGGACTGTTCTATTTCCCAGACGGGTCGGTTAGAGTAGAACATACATCTATCATAAAGGATGTAAACAGGGCTGCAAAAGTTACAGTCACCTGCAGGGAAGACCTCGATTTGGAGCAAGGCTGGATAGAGGTGATTTGGCCTGCCAAACGTCGACCGCAAAAGGGGTCGAAGCCAGTTGCTGCCAAATTGCTGTTCGTAGGAGGTAAGTTACAAATACAAATTAAATTATTCTGAAAAAATCTTTATAACGTTAGCTAACTTTGGTTATAGTCTCTCTAGAAATGTAACTGATAACTTAATGCTAGTAGAAAGAGTTGCTTTATTGTCTAGCTAACTAGCTTGCTAGCTAACGTTAGCTTGAGTCCAATTATGAAGCTCTTCAGTAAAAATGTGTATATGGTGGTGGTAAATTATAACGTTAACATATGTTCAAATTAGGGGTGTGGGATATTTATCTCTTAGATAATATCTTAATTGTTATTTTCACATATGCAAATAAGGACTTGTGAGCTCCTGCAGGCACTGAATGTGCTCACCTTGCACTGAAGCTAATAACGCGGCGGTAACCATAATCTGGGTCATGCGGGGTGTTTTTTCACTCGAGGCTTCTTAATATTTAAAGACCTATTAATGTGTCATACTCAGTTAACGGTTATAAACTCAGCTAACTGAAGATATGAACCATTTTTTCCGAATCAAAGCACAAGTCTCACAAGAAGCATCTAAATTAGCCCTGAGCGAAAAAATGCTAACAAATTTAGCCCAGAACTCACGGTAAAACATAGACTTATTACTTATTATTTTATATTATAAAACGATAAAAACGCGGCTGAAGGTTAGTCCTATGTGTCTGTGTCACTTAGAAAGTATTACTGATAATACTTCATTCCATTTTTATGTAAAAACCGGATATTTCATATTAGCTGCTAATGATAGCAGCCAGAGCGTATCGCAGCTTCCGGTTCCAATTCACCAATGGGTCTTGTTTAGATGGATTTTAGGAACGTCCCCTCGATTCTATGAGCTCTAACTGTTAAAAAGATATGTCAATCATCAAAATCGAACAAGGGGGGCCAGAGATAGGTCAAATTCACCCAAATGACCTCAGAAGTGTTTTTTTTCTTCTTCTAAACCTCTCTAAAAAGGTAAAATTGAACTTGTTTTGCATCAATCTTGATACAGGGTACATATTATATGTTATAGTTTGGATTCCTAAAGCTTTTAATTTACTATCCCATCATTCAAGGGTGGTTTTCACTTTAAATAATGGTTGTTTTTTGGATGGGCACTATAATTTACATTTTACCCTGTATATGGTGTGTGTATCAGTGTGAACAATAGTGCACGAAAAAGTGCTTACATTTTGTAATGTCAGAATGAACTGGATCTTGTTCACAGAAGTCTACCAAGAAGTGGTTCAAAAGCGGGATGCTTTCATCCGAGGGGAGGACATATTTTCGGTAGCCGAGTCCCAGAAAAGAGGCAGCAGAAGAAAGACATGTACAGTCAAAAATGTGAAGGAGGCTGTACAAAAAACAAACCAAGGAAAGGCAGTAAGTTTGATTGGTGTGTTTTGATGATTGATAGTTTGTGATTGAATGGAATGACATTGACTGATTTTGTTTATTGTTATAACATTCACTGACAAATAATTTTCCGTTTCACCTTGAATGATATTGACAGCTATGGCTTTTTGTTATAACGCATGTTTTTTTGTATTTTGAGGCCACTACATTTTCATCCTACAATTACCAAATGCTCTTTTTAAATACATGCAACGTCTGTGGATTAATGGAAAAGTGTAGTCTTAATATGAGGAAATGTAATGTGGGTGAAATGTTGTTTTAAGTTACAAGCGTTAAGCCTGGTGTTTGGGTGGTAATTTTCCAAGGCACACTCAAACATGATGTATGTTGTCAGTCTGGTTCACAGATGGTAACTGCCATGGGCGAACAGCTCAAGAGATCCCTACAGGCTGAGAGAACCTCCAAGCCCTCAGAAGAGGTGACATCTGAATCACCTCAACACTCTTCAGATTCTGATGTCACCTCGATTGACCTGTTTGAGCCGATCAAAAAGCAACCATTTGTAGGTCTAAATATTTAACTGTTTTTTTCAAATTGATATGCAGTGTTTCCCATATAAGTAAAATTCATGAAATTCCCACATTTATTTTGAGACCCGACCCGACTTCCCACATGTTACAAATTTGAAAATAAACTATCTATTGCATTTATACAACAGTAAACAAATGCAAAAGAAAGAGCGTAAATTCAGAAAATCAGGACTGTTGGAATGCACCATGGTCAATCATAGTATTTAGTATTTTGCGGCTGACACTATTTTATGTCTGAATTTGTTATTTACACCTGGATACTTTTTATACCCACTTTTTAGAGATGCCAAGATTGGTGGCTACCATGAAGACAGCACTGGACAACATTTCAGGGTCGTCCTCATCAGGATCTTGTTCCAGTAGTGGCCACGGTGACTCCCAGCAAACTGGCCGCAATACTGGCAGTAATGACTTGGTATGACCTACATAGTAATGATACTCTATTGCTATTGTTCTATACAAAATTAATCACTGCGGATCAATGGAATTGTATTTTCACACCATTGAAGCCTAGACGAGAGCTGCCCCACATAATATACAGAAGTGTACTCGAGTACTGTTTGAGTACACCTTGACTTGATTACGGGGGAAGGCTGTGGTAGAGCAGGTCAGCTACCAATCGGAAGGTCGGTGGTTCGATCCCCACCCCGCCACTGGCAGCCATGCGCTGTTGTGTCCCTGAGCAAGACACCTAACCCCAAATTGCTCAGAATGCTGTGCATTGATGTGTGGATGTGAGTGAATGTGTTACCTCTGATAGTTTATCTTCCGCCATCAGTGTATGAATGTGTGTGAATGTGATATGTGGTGTAAAAGCGCTTTGAGTAGTCTGCTGACCAGATAAAGCGCTCTACAAGTACAGTCCATTTACCATTACAAATATGTTTTGTTGCCATTAGAAATACACTTGCATGACTATTATATTATATCTCCGGTGTGTTTAAAATATAGCAAAGCATTCAAGTTCATTTGATGGTACAGGTACAATATTTGTAATTTATCTTGTTTTAATCCGCCTCTTTGTTTTTACAGATGTTCCTAGGCAACTCCTCCGTCCAGGTCTCCACACGCCTCTTCCACAGATTAGGCAACAGAAGGATGTCTCTCTTTGCCCAGGAACTAGCAACGCTAATCTTTGGGAAAGAGACCCTGGCGAAGTCTACCCTTACTGGGAAGGGGAAAACCCAGAGACCCTTGACCCGGAGAAAGTCAATGCCATTATAGGTACAGATATTCTGTATTAATGTTATCATTATGAATGGATTTCAATCTAATATATTGTCTATATTATCAAGTATTAAGTCCCATGCTTCCTTCCTGTTTTGTAAGACACCGTGAGAGAAAAATGTCCAGGCACCGAGGTGAGTGCGATCCGGGCCCTGCTGCGGAGGAAATGCAACAACGAGAGATATACAAGCAACGTTACTCCTCACTGATGGTCACCATTTAGTTTATATAGACTTTGCAAGTTAGTTAGTCAGTTTAGCCATCATGTTTTGTTAATTGTTAAATTTAGTATAAACACGTTTTTTGGTTTGTTGTTGTTTTTATGTCATTAAAATTATGTTTTTCTCATAATTGAAGTGCAATTTGTCATGAAACAGAATAGCATACTTGGTGTGTACTTAAGTAGTATCCGGAAGTAGCTTAAAGTGTATGAAGTATAATAGTGATGTATTGTAAGTATGTTTCTGTAACACATAACCCAGTACTTGCAGTGGTAACATTATTGTAAAATACACTTCTATTCTGTAGTATAAGCAGTGATACCATACACTTCTACTCTACATTATAGTATAATAACATTATACTTAAAATACATGGATTTATGGTGCTTAAATTGTGATAGAACCTTACTATAAATACATTTTTATTAACATGATAGCACAATTTAAAAGTATTAAATACAGTCAGAAAATGCATTTGAAGTTAATTGGAAATACAACAGGTGTGCTTGAATAAGTATGATAATAGTATGTTGAAAACACTTATGAATTGAGCTGAATTCCCTTTTAAGTATATTTCCAACACACTGGTGATACAATACAATTATACTTAAAGCATGTTTAGAATGCACACGAATGCCCTTTTAAGTATATTTCCAACACACTGGTGATATAATACAATTGTGCTTAAAGTGTGTTTCGAATGCACATAAATCATGATTTTAACTGGTGTACTTTAGTACACTTAAAGTTTACAAAAAGATGTGCCAATTTAGCACACTATTTACACTTCAAGTATACTCAGCTAATGATTAAGTAGTACTCCAGTACTACTTGAGTACACTTTAGTATACTTGAATGTGACCAAAATAGCACATTTATCTAAAAGTGTACTTAGTACATTCTTCTAAAAGTATAATTTAAGCATACTATTTTTTTACCTGGGGCTCCCAGCCACTTAATTCAGGAGTTTACTTGATTGACAGAAAAAGCGACCTATCGCTTTCCAGTCTGTTAACCCAGAATGCAAAGCGATACAAAATCAGTCAAGTGCCGGGAAAACTCAAATGAAGTTCAAGAGACAAACAAGAGACAAACAACAACATGAGTGCGGGGCTATGGAAGCAAACAAGAGACAGAAGTATTTGAATTTTATCAGACACCGAATTTATAGCATTGAAAATAATTACTTTGAAAATCATGTATCTGAATTTGTTTTGCTCCGAATTTACCTATGTAAAATAAAAATGTAAAAATTCAAGTTAAAAAAATTTGAATGTTCAAATTCAGATCCCAAAAATTCAAGTGAAAAAAATTCGACGTCAAATATTTCGGTGTTTAAAATTCGATGTCAACAAATTCGGTGTATAAAATTCGACGTCAAAAATTGCGATGCAGCCTCATCCGGGCTACTCAGACAGGATAAGCAATCGAGTCCGAATGCAATCAAACCAACTTCTGGCCTATCAGAGCCAAGCGGCAAACCCCGGGACAGTGCGGTGAAGCCCAATGCTGCAAACTGTAGGCGATGGATGCAGATGGGAGCAATTCCCGTAGACCCTATGTTAAAATGTCCAACTTAACATCAGAAAATGAACATGTTTCTAGCCTGGATCCACAAAAACATATTCTGTATATAGTTAGATTCCCCCTTCATGACAACGGGACTGCTGCTCCTAGCTCCTCTCTGCTAGCTCCGTTAGCTCCGTGATGCAACAGCGGCTCAGCTCATGAGGAGAACACTACTTGAACTCGGCCGTGTTTGTTGTGTTGGTTCCTGGTGGACTATTCGTCCTGCAAATATAAGATTTATCTGCGGTTAAAACAGACCGTCCATGAATGCAGTTTCTTCGGTAAGTCAACCCTGCGTACTTTATGTTATGTTACTGGTGTTTTTATTAAGCTAACGTTGATGAATGTTTAGAGTTGGGTTAGCATTTGAGCAATCGTAGCTCCATCTGTGCTAACGATGCTATGCGTAGCATCCAAGAGTGTATAACATTAAGTGGGATGCTACTGTATACCAAAAGGCTTCTGTGCGAGGTTGATAATATAAGGTCATCCTTGTACGTTAGATAGTTAGTTTGCTAGTTAGGTTACTGTATGCATTGTTAAGGTTCATTTAAATTCGCTATGCTCTACTATAGCATAAAATAGACTAGCTAACGTCAACGTATTGTTGAAGAGAGGCTTAGTGTATATTAAATCAACCTCACAATGAAATGTGTGTATCTTTAAAATATGAACGTCACATTTCAAGATGGTCCAGAAATAACGCTCCCTTAGATATTATAATATGGTTTGTTGAACTGGAGTTATTTATTGCAGCTAACCGCCTATCCAACGAACGACCCAAACATTGTTGTTTTTAATATTATTACCAGTGCTGGAATTGGGCCGGTACTCACCGGTACGCAGTACCGGCACTTCTGGTTCTGACCCATGGAGTACCGGCACTTCTTGCTCAGTACCGGCATGCTGGCGGTACTCCGGTACTCATGCACCGTGCCAGTACTCAACACTCTCTCGCCGTTCTTATTATACATCCATATATATATATACAGCCGCCCGGTACTCAGTAGATGCGTCATGAGGTGCCGAACGGACATTCTCATCGCTCTAACCGCTGGAGTTTCACAGCGGCTGTCAGCTGTTTACTCCTGTCATTCAAACAGAACGTGTTGGAGAGGGGGCGGGGCTTATCTTCTCCATGTAAATACTGTGGTGGAAACGACTATGTCAAAATTAACCTATTTGACCGTGATTTAATAGTAATACACGTTTCAAAATAATAATAATAATAATAATAATAATGCCGAAGTAACAACATACTGAAAACTGTTAGTAAAACCATGTTTTAATGCTTTACAATTTACATACCTAGATGCACGTGTGTTGTGTTTATGCAGTGCAACTCCCACCCAGTGGGTGGCTATGTAGAGTGATAGAACAGAGCAGGCACGCCCCCGAGAGAAGGAAAGCAAGTCACGTCACAAATTAGCATTTCTAAAATGTTAGCATGGATTAATAAAAGTGCAAAAAGACAGCGGTTGTCGCCGGAAGAAACTTCAAATACAGAGAATGCTGTGCCTGTGTTGGAAATTGTGTCTGATGGGGAGCTTTCTTTGGTTGATCCTCCTGCTCCAAGTTATAGTGCATTAGCATTAGCACTAGCTCCGCCGCCTCCTCCAGAGCCTCTAACGTTAGCTGCTGCTGGCGCAACTGCCACCACCAACACCGGGCAAAGCGATGCACCTGACTGCTGGACAACGGACCAGGCAGGGTCGGCGTCATGGGGGGTCATTCGCGGGCCATGCCCCCCCAAATGAGTCACTGTGCCCCCCCAACGCAGGGTTGGCAAGCCTTGCCACTTTGCCGTTTTTTTCTTTTTTTAATCATATAAGTGAAAACGTTTCTACTAAAGGTTTTTTGTGTGAAATACATCAGAAATAAAGAATACAAATATAAAACACAGCCTGAGGTGTGCTCACTGCTGCTCTCTGATTGGTGTGTTGCTTGACCAATGACCCCCGACCTTTTTTTTTGTTATCATTACGTGGCTGTGTGTTTAGATGAAAGCCCAGTGGCGATCTGTTCATCTGTTGTACTGATTATACAGTAAAGCCATCGAAAATAATATGATATACAGTACAGTACAAGTACATGGGTCTCTGTGTTTCATTCAAGCTCGGCTCTGTGTGGCACTCGAGCGCATTTTGTGAGTGCGCGAGTGGTAACGTGGAATGTTGTTAGCATCTGGTTAGCTAGCTATGCTAACGGATATAAAGTGCTGTTTCTACACCAAGGTGGAGGAGAGTCCTCTCCTGTCAGACTGAGAGGATCTTATAACGTCAGCTCAGTGAGGTAAGGACTCTCTCAGTGTTTAGATAGTTCACTTTAGTGTAAATTATCTCAGTGGGTCTCAAACGGTTTGGTCACCATTTATGTAAGTATTTTCGAGGAATACCTTTATATGATCATTATAGTTGTTAAAGAGAGAATACATGAAAAACGGGTATGAAATACTATTGGACAGTAACACAAGAATACAGTTTTAAAGGGGAATGATTAGTAAAATATCCATAAAGAAAAAGTAAATCTGTGTACAGTTGTGTTTCATATGGATGCTGAGAGGTGTAGGCTATCCATAGATCTCTTCATTTTGCTCTCAAAGTGCACCAGATTGATGCATTTAACTTCAATATTTTAAAAATAATCTTCCCGGGGGAGCATGCCCCCAGACCCTCCTAGAGGTTAGGTCCACTCCCACCTAAAACATGTTCACATGGATAGGATACTAAATACATTTGCATACTTTTTATATGGTGGCCTATGTCCATATCAAATCAAATCTTATTTATATAGCACATTTTTCAACGATTTTTGGTCGAGCCAAAGTGCTGTACATATAATAAAAAATACCCTACAGTAAAGACACTTTACAACAAATACAACAGCACAGTTTGTGCAGAATATCAGTATGAGAAAACGACACCCTCTGTCCTTATATGTTTCTGTTTTGGTGGTCGTGCCACAACCGTGCATGTCTGCACAGGTCATAGGTGCTCTATACAATAGCACTACACTCCTGCAATGTGTGTGAAAGACAATAGACTTTACAGCATGTTTTTTTAAATTGAAGTTGCGTTGGTGTTTGTGTGTTGGTTGTTGACGGCAGTGTGTGTCCCCCCTTGGTAAATGATTGCCCCCCCATTCGATTTGTTCTGGAGCCGACCCTGGGACCAGGTGCAATATTTTTGCAAGACCAATGCATGGCTCCTTCTTAAAGATAAGAAGCTAGGATGTCGGATATGCAGAGATGTCAAATCTTTGGGAATACACACTGGACAAGGACTGAAACTGTCAACTGAATGGGGTGAGTGTGCAGTGTCTCATTTCGGTGTTGACAAGGGCAAACAACAAGCTAGCCTGAGAAAAAAAATCAAAGAACATAAAGAATCACAAGCCCATGTAAAAGCTGCTGACATCCTTACATCTGCTTCACGTGAAACTATTCAACATCAAGTGCAGTCTATGCATAAATCTGAATTAGACACCACTATCAGAGTTTTTCGAACGGCATATAAAATTGGCAAACATAGCCGGCCATTCACAGACATGCCAATTGATTTGAATGTACAGAAACTGAATGGGCTGAACGTGGGCAGGGTTTTGCACTCCAATAAAACCTGTGGCGAAATCATCGACCACATAGCTCATGAGCTGAAGAAAAAAATGGCAAAAGACATTACAGAAAACCAAAGAAAACTGTGTTTTGGTCGATGAATCTACCACTATTAGTGGTAAAACGGTGCTTGTTGTGTGTCTACGCTCAGCATTAGCTGATGCTGAGCCCGAAACGTTTTTTTGGGAGCTGATCGAGTTGGATGGAACAACGGCTGATGACATCACAAAGGCGTTAATGGAGTGTCTTGGAAGAGATTTTAACGAGGACTTTTTAGGTCAGTGTTTCGTTTCTTTTGCATGTGATGGGGCTTCAGTCATGCTAGGGAAGAGAACAGGCGTTGCTACCCAGTTGTGTAGTAAATTCCCAAGCCTGTTTGTGTGGCACTGCTCCAATCATCGTCTAGAGCTGGCAGTTGGGGATGTGGTCAAGGAGGTCTCAGGGCTCAATCATTTCCAGATCTTTTTTGACAAACTCTATTCCTTGTTCCATGCCTCCCCCAAAAATCAGAGGCAGTTAGCGCAGTGTGCGCAAGCAGTCGGACAGCGTCTCCTGGTGATAGGGCGTGTTTTGTCCATCCGCTGGGTGGCTTCAAGTGAAAGGAGCGTCAGAGCAGTCTGGGAAAACTACCGAGTGCTTCATGATCACTTCACAAATGCTGCAAACGACACGAGCAGGGATTCCAGAGACAGAGCAAAGTACAAGGGCCTGGATGATGTGCTCACATCTGCAACGTTTGTCAGCAATCTGGGACTGATGTACGATGCGCTCACAGAGCTCAGCGACCTCTCTCGGCAACTC